AGATTCATTCATTTGCAACTGAGCAATGAATTTCCTAGTTTCACTTTTTTGTTTCATGAGAAAATTCATCAAAATTTTATAAAAACAATAACAGAATAAAGTAGTCAATGTTCTCTATATCATTGTGTTCAACTTAGTGTAGTCGAAAAAAGAAAAATTTTTGTAAATGAACAAAAAAAAGAATAGCAAAATATTTCTTATCAAAGAACTAAAAGTAGTGGTATAAATTTAAAAATTGCAATATATCTTTAAAACTCTAAAATAATAGAATACAAATTTGGGGGATTACTTGAAATTTCCCTACTTTCTATTAAACACACATACACATGCACACACACAATCACACATACACACACACTCACACATACACACACACACACAGAAAGGCAAGAGAGAGAGAGAGAGAGAGAGAGAAAAAGAGGTGAGAGAGAGAAATTCTCTAAAGGAAATTAGATCATATTTCAAATCATTTTTTAATAATTAAGTCTATTGGTGCATTTCAGATATGCATAATGAAATCATACATCATGGGGAATTTGTACCAGTATGTGATATATTTAATTTCTCTATTTTTGTCAGTTCCATTTCTTTCCTTGGATCCAACATCCCATCCCTATTTTCAAAGCTTTATTCCCATTATACCTTTTTCAAATGTATGTGCGTTTGTTATTATGTGTTCATTTTTTCATCTGTAAAATAAAAAATTGATACAAACCATATAAAGAAAAAATAGTCAAATATCAACAACATAGAAAAAGAAACAAAGCAAGATCAATAAGGATGGTACAGAGTTTTAGAACAAAATGATAGGGATTAACAGTGGTGTTATTTCTCGTATTATTTTTGTGTTATTTGTAAATTTATATGTGCTTGCTGTTATGTGTTCATTCATGAATCTGTAAAATAAAAAATAGATCTAAATCATATAAAGAAAAAATAATAGCCAAATACCAACAACATAGACAAATAAACAAAGCAAGAACAATAAGGATGATACAAACTTTCAGAACAAAATGATGGGGATTAACAGTGGCATTTATATTACATATTTTTATCTTCCTCAAAGTTGGTAAGATTAACAGACGTAAGAATGCAAGATTGATCAAACCATTAAAGAGAATAGAAATATAAGTAAAAAATTATAAATCATACGGGGTTTCACCAATCAAGATGACAGATATTCCAAAATGGTTGTTATACTGCATATTGTTGTTTTCAAATTAGTTGTTCAGATTACCAGATAGAAGCATGCAAAATTGGTCAGAAAATAAAGCAATAACTGTTTCTTTTAATAAACCATTAAACATCGCCAATAGAATTATCCCAGCTCTCTCTCTCTATATATATATATATAATTTTTTTCTCTACATTTTTCTTTTTTTCTTCTCCTTTCCTTCATCCTACTTGTTTCTTCTTTTGAGCAATTTGTTTCCGTTTCTTAATATGCATTGCACGTTGTGGTTTTCACTTACACTTTCATGTTCTTACACTAGGGAGACAAATAATGTTTACACATGTGGGTCTGATTCACTTCATTTAAAAATATGGTCACTATTTGCACCCATTTACCTATGAAAGCTTTGAGATTCTCTTTTTTATATAAGTGAGTAATACTCCATTATATAAAAATACCAAAACTTTTTTAGTCATTCCTCAACTGATGGGCATTGGGTTGTTTCCAAGATTTACCTATTGCAATTTGAGTTGCTATAAGCATGGGTGCACAAATATCACTGTGGCATGATCTCTTCAATTTTTCTGGGAAAATACCTAGCAGCAGAATAGCTTGGTTAAGTGGGACTTCTAATTTTAGGTTTGTGAGGAATCCTTACACTGATTTCAATAGCACTTTCATCAATGTATACTCCCACCCGAAGTGGAGAACTTTCCTTTTTCCCCACAACCTCTAAAACATTTGTTATTTGAATTCTTAATGATACCATTCTCTCTGGAGTGAAATGGAATCTCAATGTTGTTTCAATTTGAAAACATGTGGAACATTTTTTCATATTTTTTTTGCCATTAGTATCTTTGTGTCTGAGAAGTGTGTATACATCACAGATGCCCATGTTTGGATGGGTTCTTTCAATTTTCTGACCCTGAGTTTTGTTTAATTCTTTATCTGTTGCAAATAGAAGTCCTTTGTCTGAGGGGAAGATGGCTACATTTCTTTCCCCATTTCATGAGTTTTCTTTTACTCTGTTTGTGATTTCTTTTGACATGCAAAAACCTTTTCAATGAGAGCAGATGCTAGCTGTTGATTCTCTGAAGAACTTGCCATTGTTTGATTTTTGTTCATGAATGCTCTGCCTACCCCTATGGCTTAAAGATTTCTACCTACTTTTTCTTCCACTAGATTTAGTGTTTCTTGTTAATATTGAGATTTTTGATCCATTTTGAGTTGAATTTGGTGCATGGTGACAGAAATGGGTCTAGTTTTAGTCTTTGGTATGTGGAGATCAGTCTTCTCACCACCACTTATTAAAGAGGATATCTTCCTTCCAGTGAACTTGTTTGGCTCTTTTGTTAAAGTGAAGGTGGCTGAGTGTGTTTATAGTTGTGACTGCATCAAATAGTCTGTTCCATTTTTGTTCATTTCTTTTTTTTTGCCAGTATCATGCTGATTTTAATCACACTATAGAAGTATAGTTTAAGGAACATACTGATACATCTACTTGTTTTCTTTGAATTTAATGCTTCCCAATAATCGAGTGAGAATTGTGTACTAACACACACACACACACACACACACACACAAACAAAGCACAGCTAAATGCACATAGCTATGATTTCAACTCATATCAACCTATCTTTAGTTCCTCTGCAGGCCTGAGCTCAGATGGAGAACAGTTATGTTGGATATTTCTTCATTAATTCATTGGACATTTGCATTTCCTCTTCTGACAAATGCCTGTTAATTGTTCTAGGTTTTGGTTTCATATAGTTTTGTTTCCTATATAACCACATTTTATTACTATAGACAAGTTAAACATTTTAGTTTAATAGATTCTCTTATCTAGGATTTGATTCACTGTGATTGTTTTTATTCTGTTGATTTTTGTGATGTACTGATATTTTTGGAGGCAGTAGTTTGCAATTATTTCAGTGTTTCCTGGTGTGACTTAGGAAAACAGTGTCACCTCACATGTGTTTTGCATTGTATAAAAAAATATCTCCCATGACTTTACCCTGACTTCACACATCCATCCAGTTTAGTCTTTCACTACATCTTTAGACTTCAAATCCGTCCTGATGTATTTCATTGTCTCCTCTACCCATTGCTAACCCAGGGATTTTGCAATTGCCCTTAAAATGTATCATATCCTAGCCTACGACAGATCCAGTTTTTCAAATGGTTGAGCATAATATATTCAGTAATTTTCTTCAAAGACATGGATGTTTGCACATGATACCAATTTATTTAATCACCGGGAATGCAGCGCTATCAAGTAGCATGCAGATGCGGACAGAAATGAAAGTCAGAAGGCAGGTTCGCTACTGCACAGGAAAGGAGGAAATGCAGTTGAGAGGAAGATTATTGGATCTTTGTATTCATGATTGAGATCTCAGAGAGGATGACATTGAAACAGCCTTGCCTTGTTATCACCTGTGAGAATGACAAAAGGGGAAAAATTACTGCATTGTGTCTGCGATGAGATCAAGCACCCGATGTTCATGAAAGTGGAAAAGAGTGCGCTGTCAATGAGGAAGCAACAAGAGAAAATATGTAATACAAGTCAGTTTATTGGCCTCCCTATGTGGACATCGGTGGGTGGCTTCTCCAGGGAGCATTTTCCTGGGAAAGCCTTCGTTTCCCATGACGCCGTGGCATAAGTGACCGGGACCATTCTCAAGGTATATACTGATGTGAACAATTCATTCTCATTAGTGTTTACAATTATGTCATAAACATCTTCTACATACTCTTCTAGGGTTTCAAAAACTCTGGCACTGTAGCATTCGTTAATCACTCTGAAAGTGACCAGGCTGCATCACAATTCATCGTGGTAAAACGATTGCAATTCACAAAATCCACCCACTTTGTCGCTACAGTGAAAAAGTCCTGTTCTTTTCCCTGGGTTTGTGAAGCTTTTGCATATTTATACACATTCAGTGAGTAACATCAGGGTTTGAAGAGAGACTATTTGCCTATAACACATGTCAGATATTCTACAGAAAATGTCAATAGATGGCACATTATCCAGAGTTATAAATATAAGGTTTCTACTCACCCAAACATCATTAATTTGGACAGATGTCTGTGAAGGAGAATGAAGAGGAAAAAGAAAAGAGAATAAGCAAGATTGTTGGAGTTATTTATTATATCTAAGACTTGCAACAATAATTTAAATAAAGAACAGTCCCTGGAATGGCAGGTTTCTGCCAGTGATTGTACTGATCATGCTTTCATTCCAAATGTATGTTGGTTTCATGGAACACAGAAAGACGTCCTTACCTGAGGAGTTGACGTATCTTATGTTTTCTGGGGGAATACCCTTATCTCCAACCACCTTGATGAAGTTTTCCCGTCTTTCAGGTGCCTCCGTGGTTGTTGCTGCTGAATTTCCTGGAAGATAAAGCGGGGTGCATGTGGTGGAGGGTGCCGCGTGATGTCTGTACCGTCCCGTGAGCCACGCTGCACTGTGTGACCTGCAAACCCCCACCATCTCCTCCTTCCCCGCTTCCAGCAGGGAAGCCTTCACTGGCGTGGAGTGGAGGCCGGAAAAGAACATCACACCACTTTCCAGTTTGCACAGCAAATAAAGACACAAATGTGAATTCATGCTGTGGATCCCAGCATTCCCAACACTTACGCAATCACCAAGCACATCCATGTCCTGTTGATGAGTGTGCTAAGAGCAGTGCACCTCTGCACAGAGCACCTGCCTAGTATGCTCTGCCTAAATTTTCAGTGCATTCCCTGTGTTTCTAAGACCTATATTAAATGCATTGGGAGAACAACCTCCCGTTGTCCAAGAACAGTAATTTCTGTCACTGCATCACTGAGAAATACAGAAAACAATCAAAAAACTTTCTTTTACTTTCATAACCAACATTCCACTGTTATCCTCCTGAAACACTGCTCTAATACCAGGGAAGGGTAAGTGTGTTAATCCATGCCCTGCAGAAGTATCAGTACTCAGAACCATGCAAATGCTGAGAACACCCTGCTCAAGAAGCTGATGCTGATGTGCTGTGTCTTTGCAGAACAGCACCTTCAAATTTTGCCGCTCTTTGAATAATTGTAAATAATTGGAAAGTAAAAACTCTCCAGTAGAAAGCAACACAGTCATGCCACGTCATGCCACACAGCCTGCTGAAATAAAGTTTACATTTTCCTCTTATGGTGCAAGAGCCCAATTGTACCAGTGTAAGATGCTTTCCATTGTTTCTCAGACCACCGTGAAGTGCTTTAGCTTATAAGTTTTTTGGAAAGCACTTTGATAACTCCCCAGAGATAGTGCCTGTTTTCATTTTGACTGATTCCTTTCCAGTTGCCTTGATTCCATCAAAATGTTAATGGAAGTCTTCTGTTTGAACTTATTCTTAAACCAGGACACTTATCTAGATAATACATAACACACTTTCTCCACACTGAGAGCACGCGTGACATCTATGTGTCGGACAAATGCTGCCACACTTACCAGCAACCAGGAGCACACGTGTTTCCTTTCCTTGCTCATCTACATTGATGTTAAAGAATGTCATCTCATTCTCCTTTCTACTGAGAATTTGGAAAAAGTTTGTACCCGAGTCTGCAAATGAAAAGGAATGATTTCAAACCTCAAGAGTTTATGGTTTCTCATTTTGTTTGACACGAATCATTTATAATGTACTAGTACTCATCCTTCGTTCAGAAATAATATATTGTGCAAACTTTGCTGGGATGTATTAGAATCAGGTATCAAATCTTTTGTAGACACGATCTTTTTAAGGGGGTGAACATGTGCAGCTCTCACAATTTCTGAATATTTGCGGGTCACATGGTATTTCATCATGGCAAATTTCTTGGTGGAAGATCTAAAGTTAGATGAGAGCTCGGAACTCCAGCCGTTCCTCACCAGTACATCAATGCCAGTTATTAAAATGCCAGGAATTTCAGTATGGAGTTGTTAAGCGCAGCAAACATTTTATTATCATTGCATAAGCATTCATTAAACTAATCTAAACTAAGCTTAAATTTAACATAAACTACAAATGTATTGCATTATGATGTAGTGGACAGGAATTACTAATGTTATTATTACAAAATGCTGGACTACTAAGTTATAAAATTATGGCTTAATTCCATCATGATGCACTCATTGATAATTTATTATTTTCTTATTCTCTTTAATGGTTTGAACAGTCTTCCATTCTTACATCTGGTAATCTGAGCAACTTCACTGAAGATAATAATATGTAATATAACAACCACTTTTAATTCCTATCTTGTAGTTTGAAATCTCATATCATTGTCAATGTCCTCACTTCGTTTTGGTTGTATTTTGCTATTGTTCTTTTTTTCAACTATTCTCTTTAAAATAAAAAAATCTCTCTACAGATCACATTTGAAAAAGTACAGTGTACACACTTCCTCCCACTATGGAATTTTTAAGCTTTGGCCACTTAATAACATAGGTTAAGGTTCACCCCCTTAAAATTGAAATTATCTTTTATATATCTCACAGATAGAAGCATTAATTCTATGGTTTGTTTTAAAGATTGTTGAAATGATGTTCAAATCCAATTGCATACTTTTACTGTTATTTTAACTCTAAAATTTATGATTTAATTTAATCACACCATACATCTTAAAAATTTACCTGTCAACCACTTTTTAATGCTGAAGAAGTTTTAATTGAAAGAAAGTGTGGGCTTATTAGTCAAGTAAAAAAAAGTTTGCGCTTCTGCTGCTCTAATTGATCAATGCTTAATATATAATTTTTACGAGGTGCTTGGTTTTAGGTATCTGTTACACTGGCACTATTCTTTACCTCTTTTTTTTTTTTTTTTGCCAGTTACTATATCTCAGCTTTATTTGACAGACAGAAAGTGGACTTAAAAAGTCACAGAAACAAAAGTGAGGTGATTTGTTTTATAATTTATCTTCCATGTCCAGTTTGGTTAGCCTATTAAGCAATTGATGTAAATGTCAGGTTTCTATTCTTGTGCCCTTTTTATCTAGAAAATTAACAAAAAGTGACAATACCCATTTGCATAAAATTTGATCATTTACGTAAAATTTAACTACTTCACCATGCTCTCACACCAGAGGAGACACAAGGACTTTTCAAAATTGGTACCAAAGTTCCACTTTAAGTGTGGTGAAAAATAGATCACATTGGAAGGTGCATGGTCATGACTCCCCCTCAAAGTGCTCCCGTAGCATAGTTTAACTGGACATGCTCATCCGATCCGATCCACTTTCTGAAGCAGTTCTGAGATCTCCCTCTCTGAAGTCCCTTACAAGGTACGGGCATGTTGAATGCACCTCCCTGAATGAAACATAAATCTGCTTGAAGTGATGGGGATCACTTTGAAGAGTATTTATGGAAGTGTGCCTCTTGTTGGACAAGTTTTATAATTTAAAGCCCCACTGTATTTCTTGAACAAGGTTCAGATATATTCAGTGAAAGTTCCTCTGATGACGTTTACACTATTACTCCATGTTTGCATCAAGACATATGAGCTCGTGGAAGCCTAGAAGTTTCAGTAGCTTTTCCAAGGTTGCTTTACCAATGAGTGGGAGAAAATTCTAGAATCAAGACATTCAGGTATGTGGGTTTCAGCTACAGTTCTGAGTGGGCACAGGCTCATGATCTGAGTCCCGCAATCATCCCATCCTGTTGGATACTCACATTCTGCAACAAAAACATTATCTTCATGTCTTTTTACTCCCACAACTTCAAACTCTTTGCATACCCCACTGGAACTGAAATACAAACAAAACAAAGGTGTATGTTTCGCATGCATCCCCCACCTCCTCTTGAGGATCTACAAGAATGGTCTCAGTCTCATTTGGCCATTGGTGCGGTTGGACACGGTACAATCCTCCATCAAAAAAAGCATTGATGCTGCGCTGCTTGACATATACTCCATTCTGTCACTTTTTCCCTGTTATTTCCTTGCTTCTCCTTTAAAGGTTGCTGGTGATACTTATGTGAAAATATTTATTCCCTCAACAACTACTCAGATTCTTCCTGTTCATGTGACAATGATCAATAAATAGATTCAAATAGGTTTGATTTTAATGGTAGGAGAAACTTTCATGTATACGAACCCTGACCAATGGACATAGGTATAAAAGTAAACATATCAGCATCTCTACCTGCTGTGTAGACCTGAGGTCTAAAACTCCATATTGGTGTTGCACATTTATAAGTCACAATTCTCCTCTTCACTATTCACTTTATGCTAGGGACCTGATCTCATGGAATAGCTGTTGGATGATTTTGTCCTCTGAGTTTGGGGTGACTTTTGCTTACATGACGTAAAACCTGACGAAGATCCCAGCACATTTTGGAAAACACTGCACAGAGCGAAAATAGGTTCTTAGATCCCCGTTCTCATCAATCTTTTCTGGATTAGAAGCTGCTATGGCAACGGTGTGCCAGTCACCGTTGATCTGTAAAGGAAAAGTCTCATCAGAAAGGCTGGCGTACTTCCTCCTCGTTCTCTCTCCAGCATCACCGCAATCATTCCCACTAATTCTGCTCAGCCAGAAAGCATAAATCAGAGTCGATTGTGCAGTGCAGGTTTTAGGGTTAGGGTGATGGTTAGAGACTAACTTCAAGGAAAGAAAAACTATAAAGATTTGGAAGATTTAGAGCCTTTTTAGGAGTACAAACATACATGGGAAATTATGTCTATAAATTGGATTAAAGTGTGAAACATAAGAATGAAACACACACACACAGGCACACACACACACACACTGTCACCTCACACAAAGCAAGTTTATCTCTGTTACCTCTGAAGGGTCAAGTTCTTGGGCACAAGCGAACCCAAAAGCAATAGCAAGCAGGAGAATCTGCATCTTGATGGAGTTGCCTGTCCTTCTTGGCAGCTTAGAGGAGGAGAGGCACTGAGAGAAGTCTGAGTTGATGCTTCTTTTATAGCACTGCTCCACTCGCACGATCTTTAAAGAACTAAATGTTCCTCTCTGACATTCAGTATTAACTTTTCCTCATTTCCTGATTGGCAGGGATGGGCTGTGTAGGATGCTTTCTTTTTTTGTACTAAGGAGATTAGCATCAGGAGATGTTTAAGTGCCCCTGTATAATTGACCTCTTTCACCCATTAGAGCTAATGTCATATACAGGAGATATTTCATCCTTTGCAATATTTTCTCTTATATTCCAATTACATGAAGACGAACTATGTACCTACCCCTTGTACATTCATTCTTTGGCTTCCAGGGAGTGTGCTTACACTTACATACAGGAATTAATATGGCAGCCTCTGCTTTGGCCACATTAGAATAGAGGAATAGTATCTTCAATTGCCAAAGTCGAGGCCTTTCCACCAGACTTATTGTGCATATTTAGGAAACATTGTATGCTGGGTCTCCACAGGCTTGTTGTATCAGCACCCTGGGAGACTGAGGCGAAGAACTGCAGGGTAACTTTGCGGTTTAGTGAGACACAAAATTAAAGAAAAATGAAAACTAAAACAAATCAACCACTGATACATCCATACTGGATTCAATTCCTAGTCCTCTACAGTGAATAGAATAATAACAACATAAATCAATATTAAAGCTGCCAATTATGTGTTTTTCCTTGACTGTGTATCTCTCCTCGCTGGTACTGAGATCCGATCCTTTTCACAATCTCCAGTTAATGAACCCATAAAGAGTACATCCAGATATCAGAAACATAGGACTGTCCTTCCCAGAATAACTCTAAAAGCTGTTCACCAGCACCAATCAAGTCTAAAAATCACATTAATTTTAAAACCATATATATGACAAAAGATAGAAGAAGTTCCAATCATAAAAACAACAAAAAAGTTGTATTGTTCCCTAATAAATGACTCGAAGTCCTCTTGTAAAACTAAGTCCAAAGTAAGTGCAAAGTTTTATTGATCATAGTTGGGAAATAAATAATTTTGAAAAATTCCACACACATCATTCATTTCTTGCATATCCTCACTTTGTGTTAGCTATATGCATAGGCATACATGTAGGTATACAGATAAGAGCATGAAATCATTAAATTAATGTCTAATTATTTAGTTCACAGAATTTAAATTGTTAGAGGATATATTCAGCACAACATTTGGGTAGTAATCACTATGGAATAATTATTTAGAATAATGGCTAGTGGAATTATTACTTAAAATTGTGACTCCATATCAGAAGGTTAGTAATTCTCTACCTGTTGAAATATGAATGCTTTCATCTGAAAAGGGGCTGGCACAAAGTTCAATAGTAGAAAATATCCAAACATATAGTACTCAGCTCAGCACTGACATAATGGAGTGTCAAGTATAAGAACACTGAGGTGTTAATATGGATTTTGAGTGCTCATATTTAAATATAAATATAAATATGTGGGTTCACATTCAGATCTCTTTGCATATTTCTGTGTTAAGATAGGGATCTATATGCTTCTGAATATTTTCACTAAATGATTATAATCTCAGTTGGCAAAAGTTGAAGAGTACCCTACAGAGGAGAGAACTTTGAGGAACTGAGGCAGAAAAACGGACAGGAATTATAAGGATTTTTTACAAATTGTAAGTTTTGAAATGAGATCATATCCCAAAATAATACAGCAGAATTCTCCATGGGACTTGGTTTGGTGGCCTTCCAATACGCAGAAATGGGTACCTGGAGAGCTTGACAGACATTTGCCACTGTCCCAATGGGGGGCAAGAGATAATGGTAGCTGGTGTGAATAGACAGGTATTACAGCCCATGGACCGGCAAGCTTCAAAGGTCTGTCCACACCAGAAGAATTGATCCAGCCTCATGGTTGACAATTGACACAGTTGAGCAACCTGAAAATAGTTATTAGGGTATTCAGCTGATACATGCGTTATAAAAGGCGGCATGGAAATACTCCAAGACCTCAGAGTTGAAATTCCATTTAACCCAGCTATCATTCTCTTTTTGCCTATGTTCCCAAAGGAGGTAAAGACACTATGCCACAGTAATATATGCATGTTCATGTTTATAGCAGCACAATTCTGGACAGATAAAGCTTAGAAACAACCCGTATGTCAAACAACAGATGAATGGGGGAAAATACGGTATTTCTATACCATGGAGTACTACTTTGCCATAAAAATGATACAGCTGAGTGTTTCACAGGGAAACGGATGTACTTGGAGAACATAATGTTAAGTAACTAAGACACAGAAGCTTATATATCACATGATTTCCCTTATGTGAAAAGCTCTGTCTCTGTGTCTCTTTCTCTCTATATATATATTTTAAAATTTTATTTTGTATATATACTCCATATATTCTTATATATAAATAAAATATAATATGCACTTATATATTCTTTTATTATATTACATATATGTTAAAAATAACAGGAAGATAATTGGAAAGATGAAAACACAAAATATAAAAAAGGAACATTAGCAATATGCAAACAACCTAGACCAAAACAAAGCAAGGCAAAAACTATAAGAATGATACAGGGTTTCAGAACAAAAAGATAATCATGAACAGTGGTTGTTATACTAAATATTTTTATCTTCTTCAGAGTCTATCAGATCACTAGATTTAAGAATGTTAGATTAATCATAAGCAAATGCAGACAAAGTATTTCAAAGTGTACCTTGACATAGTACAATTCTGTTACATGTTTTAGATGCTCTTCATGCTATTAGTTTGTTTTTCAATTAGTATATATGGTTATCGAATTTATAAGGCCTTATGAGTTACAAAAGCAAAAACTGTAGAAAAAATAAAAGAAGTAAGAAGAAGAGGATCCAAAATATTGTATGTATACACACAAACCCTTACAATGAGTGTAATCACGATGTACTGCCAACATGTACTAATAACAGCATAAAAAAACCCATGAAACTACAATAAAATGGAGCTAATAAATGACTATAAAAGTGAAATCCTCTAGCTCATTTAGACCCTCTGGTGCATTACAATTGTTTAGGTTCCCCAAGAGAAATACACGTGTGTGGCAAGGAGGATGGTTTTATTTGTCTTCAAAGTTGACAGGAACGTGTCAACACAGCACAGTCCAGAAAACAAAATCGCAGTGACATTTACACAATAGATTGTGAGCCAATGATCTTGTCAGATGGAAACGTGCACTGAAGCATGTAATGCCTTCAAACTCATGGTCTTACAGCAGTCCACATAGAAGGATGACTGGTTTCTAGAACAAATGCTGCTGCTGATTAGTAAGTCAAGTTAGAAAAATCAAGTTAAGGTAGAAACCTCTCAGTTTGATATTATCTCCCGAGGGCAGGATAAATTACATAACAACTTAGGTTCCAATGTGGAATATTAGTGTTAATGACATCTGCAAACAGTTCCTACTAATTATATTTCACTTTGCTCCATCACAGACCACTAGCTAAATCCAGTTCTAAGTATAAAAAAGGCACTTTTTCTGTTGTTTGACAGACGTAATTATAATTATAATTGTAATTAGTTATAATTGTAATATATAATTGTAATTATAATTGTAATTAGTAATATATTGAGTATGCTATTTAAACATTCAGATTTATTTCATACAAGAATCACATAGGACAGAGGTGTCTGGCCCAGCCCTCAACACTGTGGGATTGGGTGCAAAGTAGGATCCAGTTTATGATCCAAATGATGGACAGGTGAGATTTGCAAGATCGAAAAATCCAAGATATGAACAAATACATGGTAAGTTATGTGAAACAGCATTGTGATTAGGGACAAATAGAACAGAAATAGGTGAGTGGAACTGCCCACTTGGTGATTTATTCGTACACTTTCACGTTGTTTTGCCTTGTTCTATCACTATTCTTATTTTCCTTTCCTTTCCTTTTTCTTCTTTCTGTTCTTTCTTCCCATTTCTTTCTTTTTTTCTTTTTCTTGTTCTGATCCCATCCTCCTGCCAAGAGGCCAACTTGAGGTAATCCCTCTAATGCTCCTTTCTTCTTTCTTTTCTAACTCTTCTCTTTGAACAATACTTTTGTGATGATTCTTTGTCCCCTAGCCTCGCTCCTACTTCCTTTCCAGTTATCTTTGTCTTAGACACCATTCTCCCTCAATTTCCACACCGTAGGGTAAATGCACACTACAAAGGGAAAACTAATTGCATACAAAATTCTAATTTATGATAAGTTATATTTTAAAATTTATTTTAAAAATAAAAGAGGGGAAACATATAAACAAGCAAACATCCATTTACAAAATAGCATAAGAAGAATACAAACATTACAGAGTTACGGACAAAGTGGTAAGAAATTAACAACGGTTGTTGTATTACATTTTGATATCTTCAAACTGGTTTCTCAGGAAAGCCAATAGAGACATGCAAGACTGATCAAACAAGTAGTCATTAACTGTTCATTTTGGTAAACTGATAAAAGATAGTAGTACAACTATGTTAACTATCTTGTATATACACACATACATAATTTCCCCTTCTTCCCCTTCTCTTTTCCCACACCTCAGTTGCCTTTTACTTTTGAGCATTTTTCTTTCATTTCACAATGTCTATCATACCTACTAGTTTTTATTCACTTTTGCAGTTCTCACACTAGTGAGACAATACATTGTTTACACATGGAGCTCTAATTTATTTCACGTATGATTATGGTCCGTAGTTGTGACCATTTACCTATAAAAGCCATGAGTTTATCTTTCTTTATACCTGAGCAATATTCCACTATATAAAAGTACCACAATTTCTTAATCCAGTCCTCAGTGGATGGACATTTGGATTGCTTGCACAATTTAGCAATTACAAATTGTGCTACTACGAACATGGGTGCACATATATCACTGTGATATGATGTTTTCGGATCTTCTGGGAAAATACCCAGAAAGGGAATAGCTGGATTAAATAGCTC